CCGCTCCCACTCCTCCCCTACAGCATTGTATTTGCACAGATAAGTAGAGGATATCGATCTGCCCGCGGCCAGTCCCGCCACTGCAAAACCAGCACTCTGGGTGTCGGAGAACAGTGGTGATGATGATGGTGATGCTGATGCTGATGCTGATGATGACGATGATGATGATGATTCTGATGATTGTGATGATGATGCTGATGATGATGATGATGATGATGATGATGCTACTGATTATGTTGTTGATGAGGATTGGGACCACGGGTGATGATGATGCTGATGCTGGTGCTGATGCTGATGCTGAATCTGCTGATCATGATGATGCTGATGTGAGTGGTGATGATGCTGATGCTGATGCTGGTAATGATCATGATGAGTATCACGGTGAGTATGGTGGTGATGCTGGTTCTGTTTATGCTGCGGTTGTGGATGATGATGGTGAGGGTTATACTCATGATGGTGTTGTTGAGATGATGGCAGTGGTGATTGTGATGATGATGGTGATGGCAATGCTGCCATCCGAATTAAATTTTGATGATGATGACGATGACCCTGGAAGGGATGATACGGCTGATGATGGCGGCGAAGATCTTAGCGACGATGATGCTAATTGTGAGTGATGGGGATGCGGGTGGTGTTTACGATTATGCTGATCATGTTGTTGCTGCTGCTGATGATGATTTGTTTTGGGTGTCGATGATCTAGATGCTGGTGATGATGATGATTTTATTGCTGTGGGTGATCATGGAGGTGATCATGATACTAATGCTGATGATGATCCTGATGGAGACGGTGATGATGCCGATGAGGATGCTGATGGGGATGAGGATGGGGATGACGATAAGGATGCTGATGCGGATGATGATGAGGACGATGCTGTTCATGCTGATGATGATGCTGATGCTACTGATTATGTTGTTGATGATGATTGGGACCACGGGTGATGATGATGCTGATGCTGGTGCTGATGCTGATGCTGAATCTGCTGATCATGATGATGTTGATGTGAGTGGTGATGATGCTGATGCTGATGCTGGTAATGATCATGATGAGTATCACGGTGAGTATGGTGGTGATGCTGGTTCTGTTTATGCTGCGGTTGTGGATGATGATGGTGAGGGTCATACTCATGATGGTGTTGTTGAGATGATGGCAGTGGTGATTGTGATGATGATGGTGATGGCAATGCTGCCATCCGAATTAAATTTTGATGATGATGACGATGACCCTGGAAGGGATGATACGGCTGATGATGGCGGCGAAGATCTTAGCGACGATGGTGCTAATTGTGAGTGATGGGGACGCGGGTGGTGTTTACGATTATGCTGATCATGTTGTTGCTGCTGCTGATGATGATTTGTTTTGGGTGTCGATGATCAAGATGCTGGTGATGATGATGGTTTTATTGCTGTGGGTGATCATGGAGGTGATCATGATACTAATGCTGATGATGATCCTGATGGAGACGGTGATGATGCCGATGAGGATGCTGATGGGGATGAGGATGAGGATGACGATAAGGATGCTGATGCGGATGATGATGATGACGATGCTGTTCATGCTGATGATGATGCTGATGATGATGACATTGGTCATTTCGACGATGGCATCGATGCCGAGAAGGTTGATACTCTAGAGTGCAGGCACAAACATAGCGAGGCTCCAGTATTCAGGATGCATGATGATGATCGGAATGAGGATGAAGATAAAGATGATGCTGATGATTCTGCTGATGATGCTGATATTGTTGATGCTGATGCTGCTGATGATGGTGGTGGTGGTGATGCTGATGTATATGATGCTGATGATGCTGATGACGATGGTGATAATGTTGATGCTGATGTTGATGGTGGTGGTGAGGATGATGATGATGCTGCTGTCGATGATGATGATTCTGCTGATAATGATGATGCAGACGACGCCGACGATGATGATGATGTTGATGATGATGATGCTGATGATGATGATGATGCTGATGGTGATGGTGATGATGAGGATGATGGTGGTGATGATGATGACGATGACGATGACGATGATGATGATAATGATGATGATGATGATGATGATGATGATGATGATGATGATGATGATGATGATGATGATGATGCTGATGATGATGATGATGGTGATGATGATGATGATTCTGATGATGGTGCCGATAATGCCGAGGAAGGTGATGATCGCCTGCATCCGTCAGGAATCGCCAGCGTCCACTGTGCGACAGATTGCCAAGCAGATTCTCGCTTCGCCCGCGCGGACACGCGTCTATGGCGGCAATCTCCGAAGGATATTACTCCTACGGCTTTGTTCTTCAGAATTCTCTCATCAGTGGGATTCCTACAGGGATTCCGAGGCATAGTCGGTGTGGGTGTCGGTGTCGAGGGGGGAGTCGCGGGTTCACGGTTCGTCAGTGCAGGGGTTCGCCCTTAGGCCCTAGGGGAGAAGACGTGAAGAGGCGTACCGTGGGCCGGGCCAGCAAAGTGAGTGTTGAATTTGCTGTTGTTAGCGTTGCTGTTGTTGCTGATGTTGTGTTGCTGATGTTGTCGTTGTTGCTGCTGTTGTTGTTGCGGATGCTGGTGTTGCTGCTGTTGTTGCTGCTGTTGTTGTTGCTGCTGTCATTACAGTTGTTGTTGAACATTATTAATTCTAAAGAATAATTATTGTTGGGCCCCCTGGTGCACGCCCCCCCCCCCGCGCCTAGGCCGCAGCCACATTTTCATCATTTTCGTGAGGAAGCCTCAGGTAAAACGATGTGATCCAGATCCGGTTGTTTTGTTGTAATCCGTTTTCCCTTGCAAAAAACACTATAAAATGACATTTCTTGTTCTAATATAATCAAATTTCAAGAATCCCTTGCAAAAAATAAGGTAAAGTGGACATTCGCGCGCGCAAGACGAAATCCTTCCAAAAGCTTAGTGTTCGGAGCGATTTTAACATAAAAACATAAAAAACCAATGGTTTTTCAACAACAAAAATGTCAAAATCTCATCCCGCGCGCTCTTGCGGATTCGTAGGAAACCCAACACTTTTTAAACATTTCTGTCAAACGGGCTTTTGCGAGCAACTTTTTCGAACTTCTGCGACAACGGTTGCGCACCTGCCAGGGCCATCATCCCTGTCAAATAATACCATGCGGGACACATTCGTTTTTTCTTCGCGCGCGCACGCCGTCGTCGTCGGCCGCGGGGCCCTGAATAGTAGCCACGGTCGTCCGCATGCCACGAAGTGAAGTGTCCGAACGTCATAGGGCGGGAAGCTGGGTGTGGGTGGTGGCGAAGAGTCGTTTGGAAATTTGGTAGAGCTTGAACCGGCCCCCCCACAAAGTGGGGGTATTGCCCGCCTCCTATGAAAACCCTGGCACTGGTGAGAACGGAGTGTCCCCAGTCTTAAATGATTGTTGTTGTTGTTGTTGTTGTTGTTGTTGTTGTTGTTGTTGTTCTTGTTGTTGTTCTTGTTGTGAGATGATGATGCCGCTGGTGAAGCTGTTGCTGTTGTCGTTGTTGTTGTTGTGGGTGTTCGAATTTGCGTTTTGTTTTTATTGTTGTTGCTGTTGTTATTGCTGCTGTTGTTGTTGAACTCTCATTTCTGAAGAATTGTTTTGTTGATCCCCCATCACCGGTGCATATTTTTTGTTCTCAATCAAAGTGTGCCCCTCGACGATCGCACCCTGTTTTTTGTCAGGGAAAGTCTTAGTGCTCAAACTGGGCCCCTGCCTCCCCGGATTGCAACAACAACGGCTCCCGCATGAGACTTCAGGATCCCCGTTCCTGAGACTTCCTCACAATTAAGATCGGTGCTCCCGCTTGTGACTTCCTCGCGATTTTGTCTGGACCCCCTCTCCCATCTGAGACTTAATCAAGACCCCCGCTCCCGCCAGAGAACCCTTCACATTTTATTCAGGAATTGCGCTCTCGCCTGTGACCTCCATGTAATTTGTTCAGAAATTGCGCTTTCGACGCTCAGGAAACACGCTGCGCCAAGGACGCCGTTACAATTTACTTAGTAATCGCGCTCTCGCCATACTCAGGCATCCCGCTTGAATGTCCCACCCTCCCGACCCGCCCGTCAGGGGATCGCCCGCCCAGCGTGGGCTCCCGCCCGAGTCTTCATTCAGGAACGGCGCTTTCGCCTAGGACTTCCTCGAACGTTCACGCTCTTACCTTCCTGCTCCTCCTCCCTCTCCCTTCTCCCTCCACTCTCCTCTCCTCCCTTCTCCCTCCCTCCTCTCTTCCCTCATCCTTGTGCCTCTCTGCCCTCTCCCTCCTTTCCCTCCTCCCTTCTCCCTCCCCTCTCCTGCCTCCTCCCTCTTTCTTTCTTTCTTTCTCTCTCTCTCTCTCTCTTTCTCCCCTCTCGTCGCTTCTCTCACTCTCTCTGTCTCTCTTTCTCTACCTCTCCTTTCCCCCCCCCCTCTCTCTGCCTCTAATCAACCGCCACCCTCTTCGCTCCTTCTCTCCTGGCGTTTTCCCTCTTCCTTCGTCCCTCCCCCTCCCTTCCTCCCACGAGGAGGATTTATGTGGGAGGGGGTGTGATGCCGAAGGGGGTAAATGAGAAGATCGTGAGGGATGTGGGTGTATGAAAGGAGGGATGGGCTTACGGAGGAATGGTCGGATGAAGGATGAATCCAGGGTTATGATCAAAGAGGGGAAGGATGACTTTAGGGGGATGGACGTGGGGAGGCAGGAAATGGATTGTGTTGGTCGAGGCGGAACATGTCGAGGAAACTGAGGACGCTGGACGATGGGGGAGGGCCGAGAGGGCAGGAGAGGCGAGGTGGGCGACGATGCGGTGGATGAAGGCGAGGACGCTGAGATGGGAGAGGACGACATGTGAGAGAGGGAAGTGGACCATGAGACAGTACAGTCGGCCCTGATTCGTATGTCGACCCTGCCGTATCGAGGGTACCCTTGCGTCCTGAGTTTTTGCAACCTATGCCTTCTGAGTTCCTAAGGCAACGTGGTCCTCGAAAGGGTATCGTGTCCTCTTGCGTGTCCTCTCGAATCAAGTCCGACTTTATCCCCATTACACGATCCCCAGAAGGTGGACAAGAAGGTGTTCTGCTGCCTCCATGCTGGCAGGGGCTGCCCGACAACAGCGCCTCCGCCCCCCCCGCCCCCGCCGCCCCCGCCGCCCCCGCCGCCCCCGCCGCCCCCCACGGTGCCTCCGCCTCCGCCTTTTGTGCCACCCCCACCGCCGCCGCCGCCGCCTCCTACGACGCAGGAGATGCATATGGAGACCGCGGGGCGGGACCAAAGCCGCAGACTTTCATTCGAGCGCCCGCTTGCGCCATGGGGGGAGGTCCCGCAGTGTAGAGGATCCACATCGGGTCCAGGGTTCCTGGAGAGCGTTTGCAAAGTATTGGCCGATAAGGGCCGTTCTTGGGGGGGAGGGGACGAGACGGGAGGGGATCGGTGACGTCACGTTTCGCGCCGGCGCCGTTTGGCAATGACTAGGACGGGCCGAAGACAGCTTGGATAGCAGGTACCTACAGGGATCTGCCACGGCCGAGCACACGCCTATGGGGATTTGCTACGGCAGAGCGCCTCCCTTTTCCTTCTCCTCCCCCTCTTTCCTCCTCCTCACTCCCCTGTCATATCTCCTCACTCTCCTTCCCCGCGTCGTCGTCGTCGTCGTGCTCCTTCCCTGCTGGGGAAATTTGACCAAACAAGACGGGACATTTGCTCGGTGTGAGGCTGAATAGACACGACGTTGCCAGTCCAGGCAAGAGCTTGATACACGTGGCCGTATGTCTTTCCAGGCTGCGGCCCCTCGTGTGTCTGAGTACGCCAGCCATCCGCATGTGCATCCAGCAACTGGCCTCCGCATGCTCCGCATGTGATTCCAGCTGCGTCTGTTTCCAGCTTGTTCATTGCTTAAGACACCCAGCTTGAGATTATCGACCTTAGTCTCATAATTCAGAAATAGGATGCAGTGCGCTACTGGTATGATTGAGTAATTAATCATTCAGAGTCAAAGACTATTCACAACAAGTGATGCCTTGCGCTCACGAGCTGACGCCGTTCTGCACGCCCCCCAGTTCGCCCCAGCGATATGGTGCGTACGTTGCTGTGCAGCGAACCGCTCAAACACGGGGGATTAGGACGACAAGCGGAGACGCACGAGGAAGAGGACGGAGGACGAGGACGATGACGAGGCCATTTCCCCCCTCGGGCCGAGGGGCGCCCGGACCAGTCCCGGAGCACGAGTCGATAACATAGTGCAATCAAACAGGTCGTTTTTGCCTGGCTCCGCATTCCCAGTCGGCGCCGGCACGACTCGTGACGTTATCAGGGCGGGGGATGGGGGGGGGAGGGGAACGGGGGGGGGATGTCGTGGCCAGTAACGACCGCTACCGCGAAAAACACAATGAGGTTTTGCGCCCCCCTCCCCATATGGAAATGGGCCCCCAGGTTTTCACGTCCCCCCTGGGTGGGATGCGCGGCGCACTATGACCAGCAGCACCCTGAGCTTCAAAACCAGCAGCACACGCAACACCATCAGTACAGTCAGTACCAGCAAATCCAGCACGCGCAGCAGCACCAGCAACACCAGCAACATGATCAGCAACACCATCATCTCCAGTATCAGCACCAGTACCAGCAACACCAGCAGCACCGTAAGCACCAGCTTCTGTCCCTCCTCGTTCCCCCTCCTTCTCCTTGCTTGCGCGCCGAGACGCAGGAGACGAGGATGGTTCCCGTGACTGTCATGCCGACGGAGGCGCCCGTTGGGGGTGGCAGCGGGCATGGGCGAGGAGGAGGAGGAGGATCGATGGCCCCGCCTCGCCCTGGGTCGTCCCCTCCCTTTCCCCCTTTTTCCTCTCTCATTCTCACCTTCCTCTGTTCCCATCTTCCCCGCCCTCCCCCCGCTCTCTCTCTCTCTCTCTCTTCCTCCAGCTCCCCCACTCCCTCCCCCCTTCCCCTCCCGTCTCCGTCCCTCGCCCCCTCTCCTCTGCTTCCCCATTCACCCCCCCTGGCCCTTCCCTCCCACCCGCCTCCAGGGGTCTCGAGGCCCAGGCCCCGAGAAGCCGTGGCTCTCTCGATTCCCCTCCCCGCGGCGTGTGCCGCGGGCGCACTCCTGGCCAGGGCTGGACCTAACCGGTGTTTTTGGCGATTTCGTGGGCCGTTTTCGTTTCGACTTCGTTTTGCGGTGAAGGCGGGTTCGAGACAAAAGCGATGGAAAAACGAAAACAACACGAAAACGAAACACATTGTTTAGGTCCAGCCCTGCTCCTGGCCGTTCCCAGCAGGTGGGCGCTGCCCGTCGGTAGTCAAAGGCGGGTACTTTCGAACTTCCGGAGTCCATTCTGCCTTCAGGCGCTTTCCTACAGGCGGAGGCCAGTCCACAAGAGACCTGGCACAAGAAACCCAGCCCTGAGACCCCCGGACGTCCACTGGATTTTTTTGTGTGGGAACGTCACGCTTTCCATCGCGACGCCAACCGAAACCCAGTCGAAACCCAAGAACCTGGAGGCAGGTTCTTGGGTTCAAGCACCAATAGAAACCCAGGGCACCCAGTCGAAGCCCAGTCGAAGCCCATCGCAAACCCAGTAGAAACCCAGGGCACCCTGGAGGCAAGCAGGGTGTTTCTTGGCAGGGGTCTCCACTGTGCTCCAGGAGCCGAGCCGCTTCCCTCCTCCCTCCCCGTGGGGCGGACGGAGAGCCGAGCCAGTGTCAACGCCTTCTTTGTGTGTCGTGCTCCTGCCTAACAACTGCTTCCCCTTCCGACCTGTCGGTGCGCGTCTGCGGAGCTCCTGGGCAGCGCTTCCCTGGGCTCGCTCGCGGCTCCCGGGCAGCTCCTGGGCAGCCACCGGGCAGCGAGTCCAGAGCTCCTGCGCCCCGTCCCCGAAGAGAGCTGCGGGAGAGCTCCAGGAGAGGCTCCAGACCTCGCCAGAGGTGTGCAAAGACTGCACCAGGGAGCCCGAACAACGCCCAAGAACGCGCCCCAAGAACGCCTCAAGATGGCCCAGGAGGCCCCGAGCACGCCCCCAGACGCCTGCAAGAGGACCCCTCCCCCCGCCACCAAACCTCCCCGGCCTCCACCCCCTCCCCCAAGAGCGGCGAACATATCCGTATCCGCGCCTTCGCGGTCTGGATCCCGGGGCGCGATCCCGCGGATGCGCGGTTGCACGGTTAATTACGTTCCGCGCGGAGCATCCGCGAAAGCACGCCCCGTGCCCGCGGGGTCGCGGCCCAGAGGCCCGGTCCGCGAAGCCGCGGACACGGACACGTGTTTTGCCCACGATTGCCCTCCCCACCCCCGCTCGCGTCCGGCGCCGAGGCTCCCATCACTGCGGTGGTCACGACCCCGGCACCAGGGACCACGTCGGAGCCGTACGACTGCGCGGCGGGCTTCGCGAACTGGGAGGCGGGATGGTCGGACGACAAGAAGGCGCCCAGTCAGAGGAGGGAGCGATACCAACATACCGCTACCCTTCCTTGGTCGGACGGGGCCAGGACGAGGATGCATCCGTTCCAGGGCGTTCCAGAAAGCTCTCGGGGAGTTTCAGAACGCTCTGAGAAGGCCGCCTCGCCCGAGACATCCTCCATAGCCGCCGGATCTCAGAGATTCTCGATTTCTCCTCACCCGATTCTATCCTCGTCCTGGCTTCTTCTTGCCTCGTTGCCACGGCCGGGTTCGCTCCGAAATGTTGGTTAGAACGCGCCTGGGAAGAGATCCTGGGGAGGGGTGGTGTAGACAGGTACCCGTCTGTCCCCTCGCCCGAGAGCGGGGAGGCGAGGAGGCAGGGCCGAGGTTTTCGCTGACGGTCTTGACGCTTTGGGAGCCCCCCGGGGCCTCCCGGAGCACCTCCGCGGGCCTGCAGGGACCACGGAGAGCCTGGCTGGACAAGGGGGATTGGGGAGGATGGCCTCGTGCGTGAGGGTTGCCAGGATTTCCGCCACCACGTAGCGGTGAAAAAGGTTGAGCTCAGCACTTGGGGAGCAGGTCGCGATCACTCATGTGAAGACGGGACTCGGGACAACTTAAGATTCACAAGGAGGGGTGGGGAATTGTTTAGCCATCCGGACTCCTTGTCTTCCGAGGTAGAGCTGTGAGGGAGATGCGTGAATGGATAGGAGGGAAGGAGGAGGTAGGCGTCAATAGAGGGAGAAGTAGTGAGGAGGGAGGAGGGATTGAGGATGGAGGCGGGAGGTGAGGAGGAGGGAGGAGAGAAGGGGGCTTTAACGACGGGTGATAGTGGAGAAGGTGGGATATGATGGAGCTGGTTGGAAGGGGCGAGGAAGGAAAGGGTCAGGGATCGGGAGGGAGGGAGGCGCGAGGATGGACGAGGGCAGTGCAGAGGATGCCCTGCATGGGGGAGCAGAGGAGCAAGCCGGGCAGGGGGAGGTCGAGGCTGGAGGAGGCGGCGGATGAAGCCGGGCAGGGGGAGCGGGAGCGAGCAGGGCGGAGGGGGAGCAGTCTGGGCGGGATTCGAGGCAGGAGCAACATCGATACGAGGCAGAGACGGAGCACGAGGAGGGGAAGGAGGCAGGCGAAAGCGAGGTGGAAGAGGACGCACATGAGGAGGAGGAGGAGGAGGAGGAGGAGGAGGAGGACCATGAGTGGGAGGAAGACGAGAACGAGGCGGAGGGTAAGACCACGATGGGGAAGGCTAGGGACATAATCAGGACGAGGCGTGCACGAGGAAGCATTTGATGAGGAGGGTACATGCGAGGTGGTCGAGGATGGAAAGGATGAGGACGGTGAGGATACGATGACGAGGCGGAGGGGTACGTGACATGAGAGAGGGCATCCTCCTTCGCACGGGGCCCCTCGCTCGCCGCCGACACTCTCGCGCCCCCCCCCATTGGCCCGTCCGGGTGCTCCTTGTCCACGTCCCTTCCGTGCTTCCCTTCTCGGGGGCGCCCAAACGGGGTGGTGACCACACCGTGCGGTGAGTCGGTGGGGGTTCGGGTTCACCGCACGGTTTTGGGGTTCGGGTCGCTCTCCGAGGACGTTTCGGGCGACAGGGGCCTCCGAGGTCCCAAGACCGTGCGGTGACGGGCCGTGCGGTGAGGTCTTGGGGGATTTCGAGGTCACCGCACGGTCTGTTACCGCACCGTTTCGGACTCCCAAACCGAGCGGACATCAGAGACGTCGCCCCGACGCGCTCGCAGTCGCGCCTTGCGATCGCTCAGAAGCCCTCGGCGACATGACCAGAGGCTTAGGGTGGCAGCGGTCCTGGAAACATTCGGACCACGTATGGTTGTGATTTCGGGCTTTTTTTCCGCATCGACGTAACATGCGTTGAATGATGTGTGCACGGCAGTTTTGTTTTCTACGGAGGCCTAGTTTCAGGACGGTCCAAGCGGGCCCTCTGAATTCAACGGCTGTCGAGTGAGTTTTAGGTTCATTGTCGTGCACAAGTGTGCTGCGTTTTCACAGAATCTGACCACGTAAGATTCTTCCACCGGCAGGGTGTGTGTGTGTGTGTGTGTGTTGTACTTCTTTTTCTTCTTCATTATACGTTTCTCCTTGCCCTTCCCTCCTCCTATTGTGAAGGCCTCACGGCCGGTGCCGCCGACCTTGAAGGGGGAGCCGGAGGCGTGTGGGAAGGACGGATTCGAAGGGGAAAGCTTCTGCCAGGTAGGTGTGTTCCCCCTCTGGGGGGGGTCACAACCCCCTGTGTCCTCCCTCCCACCCCCTCACCCCCCCGGCGGGGAAGGGATCAAAGGGAAGGGGCGTCTCTTCGACTCGATTACGACGTTGCTCGATTTCTCTTTCGCTGGATCGTTTGAACAGGAGATCCCATGGACAGGGACAGGGGGGAGCGGTGACGGCGACATCGACGACGACGACGACTCAAGCAGAAAACCCTCTCACTCTTTTTCTGTCGGCGGCTGGGCAGAGTAATTGCTTGTAGAAACGGTGACACCGTTGTAGCGAATGGTTCTACAATGCAGGAAGATGGGAAATTACAGGGAGGGCGGCCGAAGGAGTGGTGGAGGAACGAGGGCCGCTTAGGGGGACGGGTCACACCCAGAGCGTGCGGCGCGGCAGGCCCCGCCGGCAGGTTTCGCGGCGGCTGCTGCGCCGGGGCGCAGCGGCGGCGGGGCGCAGGGCAGGTACCGAGACAAGCCTGGTGGGTCAGGGTACGTCCAGTTGGGAGCCTGAAGCACCAGGCAGTGGTGGCTGCGCGTGCCCCAGGTAGGGGGCGCAGAGGGGGCGGCGAAACGGTATCGCCAAGGGGTGTGTGGCCAGCAAGATGCTGGGCCGGCGGATGGTGGTGGGGAGGGGGTGGCCGGCGGCAAGACCAAGCCCGGCACCCCAGTTGGCGGCTGCAGGCAGCGGCTCGGCGCCATGGCGGCGCGTGGAGGGAGAACGAGGGGGAACAGGCGGCAAAACCAGGCCCAATATGCCGAACGCGAGGTGGCTGCAGGCAGCAGCCCGGGCGCTGCGGCGGCGCTCGGAGGGAGAGGGGCGGCCTCCACTGCCTGGGAGGACAGGGTGGGCCAAGAAGAGGGCCGGGGCCGCCGCTCGTCGCAAGGGTGGGCAGCAAACGGCGCTCCGTGGCCGGGCAAAACTGTGGGTGACGCTGGCGGCCCCCGTTGCCTGGGTGGACGGACAGGGTTGGCCGGGCCAGGTCGGGGTACCTAATCGGCCAGGGAAGGTGTGGGGCTGTTTTGACGGAGGATGCAGCGGAGGACAGTGGCGTCGTGCCGGCTGGGGTCGCGGGTGCCGCCGCCGCGCAGAGCGCAATAATTGCTCCGGGCCGCCATGGGTTCACCACCTGCTCGCTGCATCCTCCTGACACGGGCCGCCAGGGCCCCCTTCGAGTTGCGGACGTGTGTTGAGACGTCCTCAGGACGCACCCGCCCCTTGCCCTACTTCCTGTAATTAGTCCGAGGTGACCGAATCCCAGAGGGCGCTGGTGTCTGGCGACGTGGTCCAGGTGCTGTGGACGAGGAACAGGAGCTCACGCCGTGCAGGCGAGGGCGCCTGCCCTCGCAGACTGGCGCTGGGGCAGCCGTCCGTCGTCGCTGGGGCAGAGCGAGGAGCCTCCGGGGCGGGCGATGGATTCCCGTTCTGATGTTTGTCGGCGGCGACCCAGTCGCCAGCCACCGCCGCGGCCCCAGCGGACTGCAAGGACGGTCTCCAGGCTCCGCCCCGACTGGATTGTGCTGGGCTTTGCTTTTCGGCCGTGGCGAAGAGGGACATCCGGGACGCGCGTCGGCGACGCGGTCGGCGTCGGCGCCGTCGATGGGGCCTGCGCCGGCGTCGGCGTCGGCGTCAGCGTCGGCGTGGGCGTCATCGCCACCGTCGTCGTCGGCGTCGGCGTCGGCGTCGGCGTCGTGGTGAGAGTCGGCGTCGTCGTCTGGGGCCAGGGCCGTTTGGGTTCCATGTGTCAGCCGTGGCGACGAGGGACGTCCAGGGCGCGCGCCGGCGACGGGTTCGGCGTCGGCGGCGTCGGCGGGATCGTCGCCAGTGTCGGCGTCGGCGTCAGGGCCGGCGACGGCGTCGTCGTCGTCGTTGTCGTCGTCGTCGCCGCCGTCGGCGTCGGCGTTGGAGTCGGCGTCGGCGTCGGCGTCGGCGTCGGCGTCGAGGTAAGCGTCGGGGTCGTCGTTTTGGGCCCGGGCCGTCGCGGGGCCGCCTTCGGAGGACGGGGGCCGTCCGATCCGCTGTCGAGGGAGTGCGGGCGGATGGGAGCGAAGGGGCCTCTGTTGACCAGGCGATCGAGTGCGGCTCTGTCCGCCTTTTTGGACACCTCCTCCCAGGGCAGCGGCGCCGCGCAACCCTGCGGGGCCAGTTCCCCAGGTACCGGGCGGAGCGGCAGCCCAGTACCCTCCAGGTAGTGGCGGCCATACGTCCCGTTGGGGCACTTTGCAAGGGAGGCCTCTGGGCAGAGAGCAACATCAAGGAAGATTGCGTGGACCTGGCCATCTGTGTCGAGTATTCGGACCCAGGCGCCAGAATGCATGTCTGTGGGGGCGTGCCCTACTCCATTCACCTCATCTCCTGGTCCTGGGTCGCTCCCAAACGGTGCGTGGTCAGTGGTTTGAAGCTGCGCCTTCCGTGCAGGTTACAGCCCACAGAGTAAGGTGCTCCGCGCCCCGCGGAGGGCATCCCTAGAGTTGCTCCTCATCTCTTACTTGTTCCGTTCCAGGGCTTGGGGGGCCCGGGGGCCCTTCGCGGGTGAGTGGCCCAGCTGGGTCTGCGCCTTCCCTGCAATCGGCGGAGCCCACGATGTGAGGTGCTCCGCGCCGCACGGAAGGCGTCCGAAAGGGCACGTGTTTTTTTCTCCCTCCGCCTTCCTTCCTAGTTTGGGGTCGCACCTAACCGGGGCATGCTCGGTTGAAGCTGCGCCCTGGCGTCAGAGCCCACAAGGTGGGGTGCTCCGCGCCGCACGGAAGGCATCCTGGGAATCCTTCCCCACCATTTCCGCCGTCCGTCTCAGGTCTGGGGTCGCACCTAAGTTGTGCATGATCATCAGAGTGGGTCTGTGCCCTCCCTGCAGGCGGCGGAGCCCGCAGGCCGAGGTGCTCCACGGAGCGCGGAGGGCGGCCTTGGAATCCCTCCACACCTCTTTCTCCTCCTTCCGTCCAAGGTCTTGGGGGGCGCCGAACGGGATCAGCAAAGTGGGTCTGCGACCTCCCTGCAGGCGGCGGGGCCCACGGGGTGGGGTGCTCCGCGCCGCGCCAGGGGGCGTCCATCAGCCTGGGGGGTTCCTCTCTCTCCCTCCCCCCTTGGTATGGGGTCGCACCGAACTGGTGCATGATCAGTGGGTTGATTGAAGCTGCACCCTCCCAGTGGGCGGCGGAACCCACAGGGAGAGGTGCTCCGCGCCGCGCGGAGGGCGCCCTTTGAATCCCTCTCCGCCCCCCTCCTTCCGTCCCAGGGTTTGGGGGGCACCATGCCGGTGCGCGGCCTGCGCCCTCCCCGCAGGCGGCGGAGCGCACAGGGTGAGGTTGCTACGCGCCGCGCTGAGGGCGTCCGTCGGGCCCGTGCACTTCTCCCTCCGCCTCCCCTGCAGGTCTGGGGTCGCACCTAACCAGTGGGTGCATGATCAGTGGGTTGAAGCTGCGCCCTCCTTGCAGGCAGCGGAGCCCACAAGGTGAGGTGCTCCGCGCCGCGCGGAGGGCATCCCTGGAGTTGCTCCTCATCTCCTCCTTCTTCCGTCCCAGGGCTTGGGGGTCGCACCAAACTGTTGCATGGTCAGAGGTTTGGGGCTGCGCCCTCCGTGCAGACAACGCAGCACCCAGGGTAGAGTGCTCCGCGTCGCACATAGGGTTTCCAGGGAATCCGTCCGTGTCGAAGGGGAGCCGCCCTGGGGTCGCCGTGGCAAGGCGGGGCGATTCGGGCGCTCCCAGACGGCTTCCGTTGAGGCGCAGTGCGGCAGGGGTTTCCGGATACCCCCAGCGTTCCAGGAGAAGTCTGGAGTCCGTCGAGAAGTTTGGGGTCGTCGTAGCGAGGGGTTTCGCCCCGCGCAGGGCAGCTGTGACGCGGTTGGACGGTTCGGGAACTCCCAGACGGTTCTCGTGGAGGCGCACTGTTGCAGGGGCCTCCTGAGGTCCCCAGCGCTTCAGGAGAAGGCTGGGATCCTTGGAGCTGGTCGGGGTCGTGCTGCTGGACTCCGTCGTGCTGGTGGAGTTCGCCCTGGGACAGCTCGGAGGGCGTGCGGTGTGCCACGATCTGTGCCCAGCCCGCCGCGGGGACCGTGAAGGTCGCGCCAAGACCGTCCAGGATGCTGGTAGACCTCACGCCAGCCAGAAGCGACAGGTACCCGGGCAGCTGTGCGATGTAGCCCGTGGTGGCCATAGTGCTCACGCGGCTGTGCTTCAGCTTTGTCTGGCGCCTGCCCCGGAGGTCCTGGACACCCGTCTCGCTCCCGAACGGGCGGGGCGGGGAGCCAGTGTAGCGCGCCCAACTACCCTGGGCGACCTGCCCGCGGCATCAGGAACGCCGGCGGCCGCAGCCGCCGCGGTTGGACCGCGGCCGCGGCGGCAGCGCTCGCGGCGGCCGGCCTCAGGTTGGCCGCGCGGGCCACGGCGACGGCGGCCCGGGTCGGCGAGCCGGCCGCCGCGGCGGCGGCAGCGCGAGCGGCGGCCCTCGGGCGGCAGCCGCGGCGGGCGCGCGGCGCCGGCGGTCGAGGGCCGCGGCAAGCCCGTCGGCGGCGCCGCGCTCGCAGCGTCACTGACGGCGCCGGCGGCGCGGGGGGCGCCCGCGGCGGCCGCGGCCTGGGCGGGGCCAGCGGCGCCCGCGGCGCGAGCCGCGCCGGCGGCCCGCCCTGCACTGGCAGCGCCCGCAGGCGGCGCAGCGAGGGTGGCCCGCGCGGCAGCGCGCTGCCGCTGCCGCTGGGCCGAGGGCGACTCCATGGGACCACGGGGGGGGTGCCGATCCCGGCGCCCTTCAGGGCGGCCGAAGATCAGATCAGGGCTGACTCCGGCCCCCAGGGGGCCGCGCTGGCCGACCATGAACCAATGGCTTGAGCCAGAGGCTGCGGCAAAAAATACGCCTCTCACACACGCCGACAGGGTCGGCGGATTTCCTTCTGGTTTAAATTTTAGACGGCCCAACAGGGCGCCACGACGACCCAACAGGCTCCCAAGAAGGGCCAAGAGGACCCCAACAGGGGCCCGAGAGGGAGAGCCCGAACCGAAAATCGGAGCCTCCCGCCCAAAGACGGCCCTAGGGCGCCAAGAGGCGTGCAAGAGGTCCCAAGAGGCCCCCGAGAGACCCCCCAAGACGCACCAAAAGGCCCCCAAGAGACCCGAAAGAGGCCCCAACAGGCCCCAGAACGCCCCGCGAGAAGCCTTGCAAGAGAGCCCTGCGAACCTCCACTTCGTCTCATTCCCAATACCCCCGCACACTGGCGAGATGGACCGAAGGCCACTAGATACTCCACCTCCTTATCCCGAATTCGGGCTACACGGCCTCAGGGCCGCTCAAGAGGGCTCGGATACAGGGACCCAAGATCAAACCGCCCTTCGCGTCGTGACCCCCAAGAAAGCCTAAAAGCGCCCCGAAACGCCGAATGGTCGCTCCAAAACGCCCAAGGCAAGCAAGCTTAAAAGCGCCCCCAAACGTCGAACGGTCGCTCCAAAACGCCCAAGGCGGAGCCAAAACGGCTCCAAGACGAACCGAACCAGGACCCCAGTACTTTCAATAGCAGCTCCCACAGGAACCGCCAGACAATCCCGAAAATATTCTGAAGAACCCACAAAGGCATCCAGAGCACCATTGTGACGCAAACACTTTCGAAGACGCCCCTAAATAGCCGTCGCCTTGTTCGCTCAAGCGTTCCAGTTTTGACGTCCCCATGTGATGCTCCACCTGCAGCGCGCGTTCGAACATTCGCTTCCCGTTCTGGTCTGATCAGGTTTCCTTCTGGTTTAAGTTTCGCGTTAGCGCTCGTACTCTTGCTGCTTATTTGCACCTTGCGTACTCCATTCCACCTGCCTCTCCTTTCCTCCGTTCCCACAGCCCACAATGGTGTGGCACAATGTATTCCAGATCCTTACAAGTAGTCGAACATTGAGCCGTTCTTAAATTACCAACTGAATGCTCTGATCTCCATCGTTTCCTTTTGAGACTTATTGTGCGCCTGTTTTCGCGCCAGTACGGCTCGGATGCGCAATCGACACCCATCGGCTCTGTCTGATCATGGTACATCCCAATTCTGCGCTATGCATCGGCAGGCGCATGCGTCGGTTCTAGTATATGTACCAGGGCCGTAGCTATCAGGCAGGATTAACACGTTGTTGGCCACGAGCATGATGGCAGTGATGGCGTGGGGGAGACGGCAGCAGGAAAGGACGCAAGGGTGATTGGGGTCTGGGGAGGAGGAGAGGGAAGGAAGAGGAATCTGTGGAACATGAAGGGGAGAACAGGGGCTTTGAAGGAATGGACGGCGAAAACAAGTTGTTGAGGAGCACGCTGTATGAGGGAGGATCAGGAGCAGGAGGACGAGGAGGGAGGGAGGGGAAGGCGGAAGAAACGGAGGACAGAAGCAGGGCGAGGATGGAGAACGAGCCGCAACAGCGGGGGATCCTGCGCTCTCTCTCTCTCTCTCAGCACGTGTCCTGCAAGGCGTGGTGCTGCGACAACAAGGGACTCGGGTGCCCCCCGTCGGAGCCCTTCGACTGCAACGCTGGCTACTCGAACTGGGAGGCCGGGTGGTCTGCGGACAAGAAGGAGCGACGCGGGGCGGCCGAGAGCATCTCGCAGTCTTGCGGGCGCCGGTCGTGTTCTCCCCCCCCTTTTCTCCCCGGACTGCGTCGTGAGAAAAGTCAGGAGGAACAAAAAACACGCAGACACAAGTAATCGTCGACTCCCAGGAAGATATGGGAAAATATGGGAAGTGTGGGGGAAGACAAAAACCCAGGAAATATAGGAACATATGGGAAATCCTGTTATTTCTGTCTATTTATTTGTGTGTCCCAGGGCCCCTTCAAAAGAGGCGCGGCAGGGACCTCCATCCGCCTGCTCCTCCTCCTCTTCCTTGCCTCTGCTTCCCGTCTCTCCGTCAAGACCCAGGGGGGGGGGGGCGGGGGGAGTGGGCAGCCCAGACCCCGAACAGGGGAAGGATGGTTTTGGAGCAGGGCTGGAGCCAACTTGGTGGTTTGGCCATCTCGTCGACCGTTTTCGTTCTGGTTTCGTTTCGCAGCCAAGGCAGAACGAAGACATAACGAAGGAGCATGAAAGCAACACCGGAACGGAAAACACCGTTTAGCTCGAGCCCTGTTTTGGACGAGGGAAGGAACAAACTCGCTATCGCCTCCGCTCAGAAGGCTGGTGGGATTGTACTTTGACTGGTTCGAGGGCCCTGTAAATGTTACGGGCGGGCTTCAGGAACCAGAGCGTCAGAACCTCTCCAACGTTGGCCTCACGAGCATGCCCGTCTCCCGATCGTGGTCGGCTGGGGCCTTTGCCAACCTATTCGCGGAGGGACGCCAACAAAACATCACCACCAGCATTGGGCCCTTGCCTGGGCTGGTGGCGGTGTATTGTTTGGAGCTTTCCTCGATTCTGGCACGGGGGGTGGGGACCACAAGGTCTCCGCCTTTTCGAACCATCGCTTTGCGTGTCGCTGCTAACCGTTGGGGTCTATTGTGGCGTGCGCGGCCTTTGTTTTGAAGGATTTTCGCACTGGCGCCCACCCGCGTCCAAAGAACCCTCCTGCTCATTCTCTCCCTCTTTCCCGTATTCCCTCCCTCTCCACCAATCAATCCCCTTTCCCATCCTCCTTCCCTTCCCCCCCCCCACTCCCCCCCCAGGATCCAGGACCGAGGGTGGGCTCTGGCAAAAGCTCTTGTCGTTGGCAGAGCAGCGAGCCAGGAGCCCCACCCTCTGCTTCGCGAACTGACCATTCCAGCCCCCTCTCCCCCCAAGGAGGGGCGCGCACGCCCCCGCACGGACGCCGCGCGCCCAGCGCTGACGGCGCCCACGCCGCGCCTCCCGAGGCGGACTGCGCCAGCATGGTGGGCTGGTGTTCCTCCGCCATCACCACCAGTAGGAGGGGAAGGGGGTCCTCCTCCTCCTCCTCCTCGCCCTCTTCCTCTTCCTCCTCCTCCTCCTCCTCCTCCTGCACTCCACCTTCCCTTCCAACGTCTGGTGGTGGTGGTGGAAAACAGGCCCATCACCCCGGGCCCGCGTGCACCACCGCCTCTCCCCCCCTTGCCCCCAGGAGTGGTGCTGCGCGAACAAGCAGATGGGCCGCGGCCCCAGCCGGCGGCCCCGGCTGGCGGCCCCTTCGACCCGCGCGCGCGCGCAAGCGCGGGCGCGCTCGGTCGGCATGGGCGCGCTGGCCGCGGTGCGCCCCGGCTGGAGGGATCGAGTGGAGGGGAGGTCAACGTGATCCCCAAACTGGCGCGCAAACCCTTCGGGGACCAGATGCCCGAAGACGAAGACTACGAGCCACCACATCACAATGATGATACGAATCATAAAGATAACTCAAGGGGTTTGTTTGAGAGTTATTTCGGAAGTCTCGCATATTGACTTTGAGACTGCTTGAAGTCATTGTGGGGATCCTCGAAGTGTTGGAGCCATCGTGGAACCCTGTTGGCCTAGGTGGGGTCTGGCTTGGGCGGTCGCGTATGCTACTTCGGTTGTTTTTGTGAACGCAGTTGGTCTTCGCCACAGCCTGCTCGACAGATGTTGAGTCATTCCGCGCATTTGTTCTCCGAAACCACCGATGCGCGGTTCGGAGGAGACCCATGGGATACGTGACATTGTCTCGTTGACGAGCATCAATGTTGACGTAGATTCTGTCCTTCATACGCGTGAGAGCGTGTGTGAGAGCGGCGACGACACACTGAGCCTCTTTGTAGGCGCCTTTCTGGCTTGGTCGGGAACTCTTGGGACGAGGAACCACCTCACGGGAAAATCTTGGACACGAGAAACCACACAAAAATATCTAGCACGCCAGGCGGGCTCGAGCTTGACGGAAAGATGAGAGCATGCGTCCCCCAAGTTAGTCAGTTGGGCATTCGGGGGACGGGCGTGGGAGAAGGAATAGCAGGTGGAGTGGGGAAGAATAGAAGCGGAGAATGACGAGAGGAGGGATCGGAGGAGGAAGAGACCTGTGGGCCTCTTGGGTCATTCTTGGGCGCTCTTGGGAGCTTCCTGGGGGTCTTTTAGAGGCCTTTTGGGGGCCTCCTTGGGGCTCTTGTGGGCCTTTGGGGGCTTCTTGGGGGCCTCTTGCCGTCTTGGGGGCGTCGTAGGGGCTCCTTGGGCCGTCTTGGAGGCTTCTTGGGCGGCTTTGGAAGCATCGTGGGCGCTCTTGGGCCGCGTTGGAGACATCTCGGACCCTGGTGGGCAGTCTTGGAGGCACTCTTGGACCATCTTGGGCGAACTTGGAGGCCTCTTGGGACCGTCTTGGAGGCTTCTTGGGCCGTCACGAGGTCATCTGGAGGACTTCAGGGCCATCTTGAGGCGATCTTGGGGGCCTGTTGGGCCGTCTTGGGTTGTCGGAAGGCCGAAAAGACGCTTAGGCCCTCTTGGGAAGGCTCGTGGGCTCTTGGGGCGACTCGAAGGCTTCTTGGGCCGTCCTAGGGCCATCTTGGACATCTTGGACCGGTCGTGCGGCGATTCGGTGCCTTCGGTGACCGTCCTGGCGACTTTGGGCCCTCTTGGCCCGTCTTGGGGCCCTCTTGGGCCCGAACAAGTAAGTCATGCGGGAAGGCGCTGGGAGCCCCATGAGATTTGTGAATCTGGGGTCCGGGCCCTTTAAATAATCCCAGGATCGAGGACTGAAGCTTCAGGGATTAGCCCAATTAATTAATTTGGGCTGCGCGCCACTGGCGCGCCGGCAGAGGCAAGGCCACCAGCACGCCTACCTCTTTTCACCCTTTACCTGAGGAAACTCCAACTCGTGCCTCAGGGCACGGTGGCGGAAGAAAGGGGGGATCCCCCGTTCTCTCTCGGGGGGGGGGGGCAGCGCCCTCGGCGGCGAAAGATTTATCATTCCTCCCTCGCGGCTGCAGCGGTTTTTTTTATGATCGGCCTGGAAATGTCGGGAGATTCCCCACGCAGTGTTTGCACTGATGCGTTCTTACTTGCCTTCTACCGAGTTGTGCCTGCGGGCCGCTCGCCGCCTCGTCGGCTCCCGCCGTCTTAATGCCGTCCGCTTTGCACCGCTTCGCATTACTTTGTATTGTTTTGCGTTGCTTTGCCTTCTTCGCTTGGCTTAGCATTGCTGGGCATTTCTGGGCATTTCTCGACATTGTTTGACATTGCCTTGCATTGCTCTGCGTTGCTTTGCATTACTTGGCATGTCTTTGCCATTGCTTTGCATTGCTTTTCGTTTCTTTGCGTTGCTTGGCATTGCTTGGCATTGCTTGGCTTGCTTTGCAGTGCTCTGGGTTCTTTCGCATTGATCTGCATAGCTTTGCATTGCTTTGTGTTGCTTTGCGTTGCCTGGCATTTCTTGGCATTGCTTCGCGTTGCTTTAGATGGCTTTGCATTGCTTTGCATTGCTTTGCGTGCCTTTCATTGCATCGTTGGCCATTGTAGCATATTGGTGCATTGCTTTGCGTTGCTCCGTATTGCTCTGCATAGCTTCGCATTGCCTGGATTTGTTTTGTATTTCTTCGTACGGCTCGGTTTATCTTTCCATTGCTTTGCATTGCTTGGCATTGCTCCGCATTGCGTTGCATTGCTTCGCATTGCTTGGAATTGCGTTGCATTGCTTCGCGTTGCTTTGCGTTGCTTGGCATTGTTAGACGTTGCTTGACATTGCTTTGTGTTGCTCTGCCTTGCTTCGCATTGCTCTTCATTACTTTGCATGTTCTTGCATTGTCTGTCATCTTTTGGCATTGCCTTGCATTGCTTTCCATTCACTGCATTGCTCTGCACTTCTTCGCATTGCTCTGCGTTGCTTACCATTGCTTGATTTGGCCTTGCATTGCGTTGTCTCGCGTTGCGTCGCATTTATTCGCATCTCTTTGCATTATGTTTCATTGCGTTGCGTTGCATTGCTGTGTGTTGCATTGCTGTGGATTGCTTAAGCTTGTGTTGTCTTGCGTTGCGTGGTCTTGCGTTGCTTTTCTTCGCTTTGCGTTGATTGCGTTGATTTGCGTTGCTTTGTTTTGCTTTGCACCGCCTACGTCGCAGCACATTGATTGCACCACCCAGGTTGCACCGCATAGTTTGCATGACGTCACTGTTTCGGGTCCACGTTGGCTGACATACACATACAGACACGCGCACATACATACATACACATATACATCCATGTATACATGCACACATACGTGCATGTATGCCTACGTACATACATACACATACAGACAACCATGTACACATACACATATATTTCCACATCCATACATTTGCATCAACACATGATACACATGTACATGTACAGTTATAGGTACATGTACATGTAAATGTACATGCGCATATTCATATGCATATACACATACATATACACGTGCTCACATACGTATACATATACACATACACATACACATAAACATGCATGCATGCATACATACACACATACGTACAGCCAAACGTACATACAAACATACAACACATATGCATGTACCTGCCTACCGACCTACCGACCTACCGACCTACCGACCTGCCGACTTACCCACCTACCGGCCTACCGACCTACCGATCTACTGACTTACCGACCTACCGACCTACTAACCTACCGACCTACCGACCTACCGACCCACCGACCTACCAACCTACCGGCCTATTGGCCTAAAGGCCTACCGGCCTACCGGCCTACCGACCGACCTACCTACCTACCTATCGACCTAGCGACCTACCGACCTATTGGCCCCGGGGAGCCCCCGAAACGCCCAAGGACAGCCCAAGACGACCCCAGGAAGCCCCTAGGACGTAAAAGAACGGCCCAGGACGCTCTCAAGCAACCCAGGATAGCTTTCGGTCGGCTCTCCAGGCTCCCAGGAGGCCTCCAAGAGACTTCAAGAGAGCTCCGAGAGGCCTCCCGAGAGCGCCCGGAGAACCTAAAATCTTTCTGTTTAATTTTTTTCTGGTGTTCGGCCTTCTCACCATTTCATGTTTCCAACGCTCCAACACCGCAGAAGAGGCCTCCAAGATCGCCCCAAGACGGTCCCAAGACGGGCCAAGAGGGCCCCAAGACTGCCGAAGAGGCGCCCAGGACAGCTCCAGACCACCCAAGAACAGGCCCAAGATGAGCCAAAGAGCGGGCCTCCAGAGACCTCCGAGGGGACTCCGGAACCCCCTAGACGCCCCCAACACACCCCAGAACCCTGAGAGACCCCAAACAAGCCCCGACGAGGCCCCCCAAACAGCCCAGGAGAGCTTCGAGAGTTGTCCTGCGAGAGCCCGGAGAGGGTGAAGTCGTTGATCTCCACTTGCTTTTTGCGACGTTTTTCGCCTTCTCACGTTTTCCTCGCTTCGAACGCTCAAAGACTGAGGAACTTGAAAAAAAGGGAAGTCCAGAGATTGCTTTTCTTTTCAAGTTCAACAAATATCCCCCCTCCTCCCGGGGGTCCCACACCTCCCCAGAACATCTGCGGAACGCTCCCAGTACCGCGCATTCCGGCCCCGGGGAACACCCGAAACGCTCAAAGCCAGCCCACGACGACCAGAAGCTTCCAGAACGTAAAAGGAAGGCCCAAGACGCTCCCAAGCAACCCAAGAGCCTTCGGTCGGCTCTCCAGGCTCCCAGAAAGCCTCCAAGAGACCTCAAAGACCGAGGAACTTGAAAAAAAAGGGAATTCCAGAGATTCCTTTTTTCAAGTTGGGACTCTTACTCCCCATCCTGTTCCTCGAGCCCCATCAAGGCTTCGGGGTCATATGCAGAGATTATTCGGGAATGCTGCTGAAGTCTCTGACGCTGTTTTGGCACTCTCTTGGATCTTCTTCGTATCCTCTTGGCTGCCCCTGAAACCACCGTAGAAATCGAGATCCCATAATCCCATGAGTTTTCAAAAAGGAAGTTTAGAAGTCCTTTTGTTTCAAACTCGCCCCTCCTTATTTCTTTGCACAAAGACCACGAAAGGCATCCACCTAGACCGTGGCTGGCATCCAGAAAACTTCTAACCCACAGCCCAGTCATGGGAACTTGAAACAAAGGGGAATTCCACAATATCTTTTTCTCAATAACGCCCCCCCGTGTCTACTCGTGCACAACAAGACCACAATTAAGGCCCCCCTCAGCTCCCAGAAAAGAATCCAGGAAGCCTTTGATGACCCCCAAACGTTGAGTACCTAACGGGAATGAATGATTTCTGCGTTTCCCCAGTTCCCCTGTATGCGCTTACGAGGCTTGCGCAGGGTCTCCAAGACAGCCTCTGGATGCACAAAACGACACAAGTATATTCCAGGAGTTAGTTTGTCAAGCCTAGCTAGAACTTGAGCGCGCGCGAAGCGCGCGCGCTTGTTCTAGTTTATATGCAAATATGCATCTGTACATACGTACTTATGCAAACATGTATGGATGCATGCTCGCATGCATGTATGTATGTACGTATGTATGTATTTAATTATGCTTGCATGCATGTGTGTGTATATATGTAAGCATGTATGTATGTATACAATCATGCATGTGTGTATGCATGTATGCATACACGTATGCATGTATGCTTGTACATATGCATGCATGTGTGTATGCATGCATGCATGTCTCCCTCTCTCTCTATATATATATGTATATTTATTGAACTTACATATATGTACATCTATATATTGTGGTGACCTCCGGCCAGTGCCGCCGATCTGGGGCGTTTCCGTTGCTGTCGGAAGCGCACGACGGCGGTCATGACCGGCGACGACAGCGAGCGGTGAGGATGATGATGATCATTGGGAATGGAGGCGATAGAGTAGTATGATGATGGTGATGATGATGCGGAGGAGGATGATCATGATGAGGTGGAGGGGGGTGGGGGGGGAGGGGCAGGCGTAGCAGGATGCTGAGGCTGAGGAGAAGCAGAAGGAAACCGAAAGTGGAAGAGGGGGAGGGGGAGAAGGAGGAACGTGACGAGGACGAGGAGATGTTCGGTGGTTGTTGGAGATGTTCGGCTGTTGCTGGAAAGCCTCTTTGGGGCCAGGTGTTAGCCTTATGTGGGTTGAGACCTCGCCGATTTGGCGCGCCTTCTGAACAACTTTGTGCTCGAGCTTTCTGCGTCGCAGTTCTTTGTGGAGCCTTGTGCATCGTTGGTCTCTGCTGAAAACCATGGCGTTTTTGGGGTCTTTGGGGCCTTCGCGCGGTCCTCTGCGGGCACTTGTGAGATCAAGGATGTGAAGGACACCGAAGACGGGCGAATCTGTGAAAGCGTGGAAAAACCTTTTGTATTGCAGCACTTGTGTTGCGACGTAAGCGCTGTGGAAGCATTTGGGCCGGTATTGGGCTTCTCGGGGGGAGTCTTGGAGGCAGCGTGGAGGCCTTTAGCAGGCGTCTTGGATGCATGTAGTGAGTCAGCTGGGGATCTTTACGGGGCTTAAGGGGGCCTCTCCGAGGCCAGTTGGGGGCGTCTTGGGGCCTCTTCAGGCCTGTTGGGGGCTTCCGGGGGCCTGGTGAGGGCTTCTTGGGTTGTTTTCGGCACTTCTTCCGGCGTCTTGGCGCCCTCTCGGGCGCCTCTTGGGCCCGTCTTGGGGCCCTCTTGGGCTTCTTCCGGGGGCCTCCTGGGACATCTTGGGCCCCTCTTGGGCCGTCTTGGAGCCCTCTTGGCGGCTTCTTGGGCCTCGTTGGGGCGTCCTTGGGGCGTTTGCGATGCTCTGGAGGCCCAAGGGACGAATATTCACGTTGAAAACAATATGGTGCATTATTGATTTGTGCTTTTCGAGGCCCTCTTGGGGAGGCTGTTGGGGCTTCTCGTGGGACGCCCTGAGTTTTTTTTTTTCGGCCGACTGGATGTCATCTCGGGCAACTTGGACGGATGGTTCGGCGATTCGGGGCCGTCTCTGATCGACTTGAAGGCCTTCCTTCGTGGCCCGTATTGAGATCCTCCTGGGGCTGAACATGTCGCGCGAGAAGCCGCGACGCGCCCAAGGGCCCACGCGACGCGCCCACGGATATTTGTTGATTTGGGTTCCAGGCCTCTTTAAGGAGGATTGAGGGCTCGGATTTCATGGGGTCCAACTTGTGCGGGAGAAGGACCTGAGGCGCGACAGCCCTGCCGACGCTTCTTACGTGGCCCACTTGTCCCTCCAGCAGCTATGCAGAGGTGTGGCGTGGCTGACCGCGCTTCAGCGGACGCCGCGCGAACCATTGAGCCCGCTCTGTTCAAGGTGGCTCTGAGGCGCAGGCTGCGTATCTGTGTAAAAGGATGCCGATTCGTTCTGCTCCATTTGTGGGGGCACCATGGACAGCTACGGCGATCATGCCCTCGTGTGCCCATGCAGCGGAGAACGCGCGGTCCGCCACAATCGCTTGCGGGACTCGGTGTACGAGGACGCAGTAAGGGGGCATTCGGGCCCAGAGAGGGAGAAGCCTGGTCTGCTCCAGGAGCGCCCGCTGGACGACGGCACGCCCCCCAGCGGTGGCGGAAAGGGAGGCCCCAGGCGTTGCGAGGTCCCGGAAAAGCCCTGCTGATGCGTTCTTCTTCCAAGCTTTGGGCGGCACACTTGCTGCCCTGGACTTCGCTTGCACGTCGGGTCTGCGCGCGGACTTGCTGCGAGACGCTGCGGCGAACCCTGACTTTGTCCTGAGCGCGCACGAGGAATCAACGAAGTCTTGTAAGGCGCCTGGAGAGACTGTCGCAACAGAGGAACTGTGCAATGGCGCAGGTCTTTCGTCCCAGTGATCATCGGAACTCACAGCGGCGGTTGGGGGAAGAGCACGGCAGAGTTTGGACACGATCGCCGAGCATGTGAGCGCCTGTTGTCGTTGCGAGGCAGAGGTGGAGGGCTTGCGACCAGTCCAGTGATTCTCATTTTTCTTTACGGGAAAAACGCGCGGGCCTCCTCTGCGACACCGTCTGAAACCTGCCCTGGGCGAAGAGGTAGGCAGTGGGTCGCCAGGCCACGTGCCGCCTCTCTGGCAGTGAGTGCCCTTTCTCCTCCGCCGCCGTCGCCGCCGCCTCCTCCTCCTCTTCCTCCTCTTCCTCCTCCTTCTCCTCCTCGTCCTCCTCCTCCTCCTCCTCCCCCCTCGTCCCCCTCTCACTCGTACGGTGGTTTAGCTTCCGTTGCCGTGGGCGGGGGAAGGTTAGGGGTCCTTTCAGGCCAATCCCTCTTGCTCCGCTTCGCTGAGCTGCCAAATTGTTGCTCCTCCTCCTTTTTTTTTCCTCCTCCTCCTCCTCCGCTTCCTCCTCCTCCTCCTCCTCCTCCTCCCTTCCTCTTTTCCTTCCGCTCCTGGCTTCCAGCAGGCGCGCGAACACTGCTAACGGGGGGGTCCGATAGGTCAGACTCCCCTGCCGCGCGCCAGCCGCCTCCGCCTTCCGGTTCCTTCATGCTCTTTCCACTTCCTTTCTTCGTCGTTATCCTCTTTCTCCTTCCGCACTTGCGGACCGTAATTTGTGACGTGTTCTTTGCGTGTTGCAATTTTTGCAGACAGTATCTTCAATCGCCCGCTGACAGATCTCTGGTGCACGCCGACGGGAACACTCGCAAAGGCAAGTGCTCAGCGGCGGCGCGGTGCTTCGAAACCGCGTGTGAGCTAGGGCCTGCGGCTCGTTAGCGGCCCGCTCCCTGCGGATTTGGGCGGTGCTGACGAGGGGCGCGGGCAAAGTTGTGCCTTCAGGGCGCGGTAGCGGATATAGGCTAAATGCCTCGGAAGCCGCCAGCACGCTTCAAGTAGGTCGGCCACGTCTGCGCGTTGCTCAGGCGAGAGCAATCCGTGAAACTGTTGCGAACTTGTCGAAGGAATGCGCGCGGCGCCCAGGCAAGAACCACATTTTGGAATCTGCCAGCCATTAGCTTGCGAATTTGGTTTCATTTTGGGGGCCTCAGGGTCGCTCGTGGTTAGGATTTGTCAGGCGAAGCGCCCATTCGACTGGCCTCGGGGTGCGACGGGGGTGACTTCTTCGTGGCACATGAATGGAGGTAGAGGAAGAGGACTCCCCCCTCCCTCCCAACATTTGTTTTGTTGTTGTCAGGCTGCGGCGCCCCCGTGTCGGAACCCTTCGACTGCGACGCCGGGTACAGCAACTGGGAGGCCGGATGGTCCCCGGACAAGAAGGCCGGGCGCGGGGCGCCACCCTAGAAGTGGGGAGAGTGGGACGGAAGGGGGAGATGGAAGAGGAGGTGGAAGAGGAAGGGGGACGAATGTTCATTGTTGGAGGGGAGGACGGGGGAAGAAGAGGAAAGGGAGGAGGAGGAGGAGGAGGAGGAGGAGGAGAGAGGAGGAGGAGGAGGAGGGAGGAGGAGGAGGAGGAGAGGAGGAGGGAGGAGGAGGAGGAGGAGGCGGAGAGAGGAGGAGGAGGAGGAGGAGGAGGAGGAGGAGGAGGGAGGAGAGGAGGAGAGGAGGAGGAGGAGGAGGAGGAGGAGGAGGAGGAGGAGGAGGAGGAGGAGGAGGAGGAGGAGGAGGAGGAGGAGGAGGAAAGAGGAGGAGGAGGAGGAGGAGGAGGAGGAGGAGGGGAGAGGAGGAGGAGGAAGCAGGAGGAGGGAGGAGGCGGAGGAGGGCGGCCAGGAGGAGGGAGGGGGAGGAGGAAGGAGGCGAGGAGGAGGGGGAGGAAAAGGAGGTGGAGGCGGAGGAGGAGGAGGAAAAGGAGGAGGATGAGGAGGAGGGGGATGGCAGAGGGATGCGGAGACTCTGGGGACGCTGACCGACTCGAAGCCCCGAGCCTACGAGGGGATCCCGCGGCCCCACCACGGGACTGGGCGGCGCCTCGGGGGGCGCGACCGCAGACGAGGCCGCAGACGAGCACGAAACCTCCCACGAATAATAATGATACGATTCATAAGACATAATTCGATCAATACTTAAACATGCGATAAGAAGAATATTACAAACTAATACCACTGCTAAGAATAATAAGGAATAGTACTACTACTCAGAATACCAATACTGATACTAAGAATAGCACTGAGACGAACACTAGGGCTAACAACTCTTAATACTGATGATACGAATGATCATCATTAAGGTAATGCGAACGCTGATCATTCGAGTAATAGTACTCGTAGTAGTACTAATAAGATGAAACTGACTATCACAAACAAAACAGTATGCATATTCGCACTGCTACGCTTAGTAATACCATCATAATAATGCAAACAACAACAATGCGATGCAGAGGGCGAAGCATAATGCTAAGCAACACAATAATAACACATGACGAAGAGGCCGCTCGAGACGCCCCCCGCGCCCTGGCGGCCCCCTTACAACCCCCTCGAAATCAAACGCACGTTTTTTTGTATCTCACCCCTCGCCACACAGTTTCAATGTCGACGGGCGCGCGCAGCGCGGCGAGCGGGGTCAACAAGGACTTCCAGTCGCCAGCATCGGCGTCAGCATTGACAATGGGGGGCCGAGGGGCAACGCTACGTCGCGGGAGAAACTCGCGCTTGATTTCGAGGAGGGACGTTGGAGCTCTCTCCCGAAGGGCAGGGGAGGAGGGGTACTGGCCCTCCGCAGAGGCGTACTCACACTGCTCCCCGCCAGGGGCTTTCAGCGCGCACGTGCTCGCTTGCAGCAGCGGGCCTCCCACGATGAAGCGCAACATGGCTGCTTGCAATCGGGGAGCGAACGAAGCTGCACCGCTTTTTGTTTCTGCTGTTTCTGGAGGTATTCTCGCCGCGAGATGCTTTCCAGCAGCTGCGCCTCGCCGATGGGAAACCCCAGAGGTACCGATGCCGCCACTCCCCTGGCCTGTCCCGTGGTGCGTGCTGACCCGGATTTCGCGGTGAATCCAACGGTGGCGTCGAGGGCTTCCCGGGAGGGCCACAACGGGGAAAACGGGCGAAGGGTAAGTTTTAGCCGCCTCCGAGCCGAGATCGTTCCGAGGGGTCTGGAGTCGTACGGAGCGGCCGCCGTGGGCCCCCAAGCGCTGCGGTGGTCACACCTTGTGGCGAGTCGGTGGGGATGCGGGGTGACCGCACGGTTCCGGGGCGGGGTCCGTTCTCCGAGGATATTTCTGGGGCGACTGGAGCCTCCAGGGCCCAGAGTTGTGCGGTAGCGGACCGTCCGACTGGGTCTTTCGTGTCGGCGGCGAGCGGGGGGGGAAGTGAGAAGGAGAAGGCCTTCTCAGAAGGCGGCGGGGCTTCTCAGAAGCCTTCGCGCCTTTCTGACAAGTTTTCTGTGTCTTCGGGGATGGCTCAGAACACTTCTCAGAAGGTCTGGGGATTTTCGAGCCTCCTAAGAAGGCCCGCCCCTTCTCATTTCCCCCCCTCGCTCGCTGCCAATCGTGGATTTCGAGGTCACCGCACGGTCTGCCACCGCACCGTTTTGGGACCTCGAAGTTCTGGCCCGAACACCACCAGTCACGGAGCGCGTTCTGCCACTCGCAACGTGTGTGTGCCCGCAAGCGACAGAAAACAAAACGTGCCTTCTTATGTGTAGTGGATCGTAAATCCCCCGCGGCGGATACAGGCCACTTGCGAGTAGTGTAGTGGAACGCGCTTGTCTAGCCAGGCCTAACGAGACCAGGGCCAGGGGCGGGAGCACAGTGCTGCAGCTGTGGCGCGGGCGGGAACGGGTGCGCGAGCGCGGTCGGGCTCGCCGGCCCGGCCCTTCCTTCCGAGGCGGGAATTTATCCGTATCCACCGCCTGGAGGGTCAGTTTTCGGAGCCTCGGCAGGCGGTGGGTATGGACATATTCGGGCCCCCTGGGGCCGAAATATATCCATATCCACCGCCCGCTGGGGCACTAGGACGTCGGTTCCCAGGCGGTGGATATGGACAAATCCCCGCCTCGCATTCCTCAAGGGAGCAGAACCGCCGCGACCCCGACGACTGGTGTTTCACTGTTGAATGGCCTTGGGTGCGTGTGCTGAACGGCCTCGCTTGTCGGGGTGCTTTATCATGGGTGCGGAGGTTCTGCTCTCCTGCGTCTTCTGGTGGCGCGCCCAGGGGGTGAGGGCAGAGGGGGCGGGCCTTCCCAGAAGGCTCAGACTTTCTGGGCCTTCTCCGAAGCCGGGGGCGGCCTCTCGGAATGCCGGGGGGCTTCTGAGAGGCCCCGCCGCCCTCCGAGGAGGCCTGCTCCCGCTCGCTGCCCCCCTCGGCGCGGCGCCGATTCCCCGGTCGAGCTTCGGGGACAGCGCCAGGTCAGAGTACTAGTCGATGCAGTTCGATGCAGCTAGGAAGCTGGACATGGCGCATCCAAAAACATCCGTTCGCATCTCTGTAGGGTGTGGAAGATCCAGCGCGCTGCGAGGGACTGTAGAAATCGTTATAACCTTAACGGAGGGATGGAGGTAGGGAGGGAGGGAGGGAGGGAGGGAGGGAGGGAGGGAGGGAGCAGGAGGAGGAGGAGGAGGAGCAGGAGGAGGAGCACGCGATTGTCTCGGACAACACATGCCTCTACAACCCAGGCGGCTGCTGAGTACGATCCTTTTCGAGTGCCACCGTCAGAATGACAGGTAAAGTTGGCTTCGCACGGGCTGCAGTCGCACACCGTGTGGCTTCACGTGGGCTAAAGTCGCACAATCGCAGGCACTCGTTCCCATGAGCATTCCGCGGCATCTTTTTCATTACGCCTGTCTCCTCTTTCACAGCAGCGGCCGTCACTTCAGACGACTTTGTATCCTATGTTTCGGGCAAGATTTTGAACCGCTCCCCTGGCCAGCTTCAGCGTGTCCGCTCCGCACGTGCCTGCTGACCCCTTTCATATTTCTCGGCCTACCACCCCCTGGATTAAAAAGTCCGGATCGGCACTGCAGGCCCCCTTGCATCGTCGCTCCCCGAGGGGTAAACATGACTGGCAAGAAGTACCAAGCATAATCGCAAATTCCAAGCAACGTAACTGGGACCGGAAATTTACTAGCGAGGAAGTCCCAAGCGAAATCGCGAATTTCCGGTCGCCACTGAGAATTTCCGGTCGCCTGAAAAGCGCCCGGAAATTTTTTTGGAGGAAATATTCGGCGGAATGCGGATTTCCGGTCGTCACCCCATTTGGCGATTATAATACTAGAGGGGGTGAGGATGGACTGGAAATTTAACCATGGCGGCCCCTGCGACATTGTACCGGGGCGGGAGCCGAACAACAAGGCTCATTCCCCGACCTCTGCGGTCCGGACTTTTTATTCCAGGGGGTTGTAGTACTTGTGTGCTTTGTGGCGTCGGAAAGAAGGACAGAGGAGGAGGAGGAGGAGGAGGAGGGGCTAACAGTTGAATAGAATGACCATGGCTGCGATCGCAATAACGAATAACGACATCGTTTTATGGCGGTCGCAACAAATGGTTGAATGACGACGACGACGGCTGCGCACAGCACTACGGCGCTGTGTTCGGGCGGGCCCAGGCCTTGGACAAGTCGCCCCAGAGCCTTCCAGAGCGCCCTGGAACGGCCGCGGCCGCAGATGCATCCTCCAGAACCGCCAGATCTCAGGGATCCCCGACTTGTCCCGATCCTGGTTTCGTCTAGTATACACTTGGCAGGGGTGGCTCGCTCGAGTCTTGCCGCCCCACTCGAGGTGTGGTGCTGCGAGAAGAAGAACATGGGGTGCGAGCACTGAGCTGCCCCCCAGCTCTGAGCGCTGAGCCGGACCCTGCTTCCCAAGGAAGCAAGGGCGCCGCCGGTGGCCGCCCATGTCGCCTCGGAAGGCTGCCAGCGGGACCAGGACCGCGCGCTCGTCGCGGTCCTCCTTTTGTCTGGCAACCGGCGGGGACGAGCGCCGCCAGCGAGGAGCCGCGAGCCCGAGCGAGCCCCTTTCTGCAGGGGTCTGCGCGATGGGCCCCCCCGGTGTGCGCGGCCGTTGCGTTGTGGGGCTGTTTCCACGGGGACTACGCGTCGGCGGCGCGTCAAGGGGGGGAGTGAGAGAGTGCTGGCCTTTCCAGACGGCGGCGCGGCTTCTCAGAAGCCCTCTGGCCTTCTGAAAAGCACTCTGTGGGTGTCAGAAGGCCAGGGGCCTTCTGAGCTTCCCCAGGAGGCCCGTCCCCTTTTGCCCCTCCCCCTGACGCGCCGCCGAGAACGGGTTGGGCGGAGGGGGTGGGGGGTCGGCGCACCCGGGGGGGGAGAGCGCTCAGGCAGGAAGGCAGACGGGGAGGACGGGGGGCAGGGCGAAGCACGCGTTGGGGTACTGCGGGTGATGGGGCTCGCGCCATGGCCATGGCCATCAGTACTGGGGAGCCGCCGGACAGGGGCGGGGTGCACGCGGCGACCGTGCCAGGGGGGCCACCCGAGGGGGCGGGGTATACGCGGGGGCCACGGTTCGAGGAAGCGCGAACATGGATCGAGCAACGGGGTCCCGTTTCCATGCGACATCGATGTTCTCCGTCGCCAAACCAGGCGGCATTGGTCGCATGCTTCAGGGGGTATTCTCCCTGATCCGTGGATCTGGTGCCCACGCACTTGATCTACAGATCCCTAGTCCATGTTAGCGTGCGCCTGAGTGGTGGTGAATGGAATGCGGCTCGCATGGGAGACGCCCCATCTCTCTTACCCGCTCCTGCGGCAGATCACGTTCGTTTCCGGTTTCCGCCGCTGGTCTTTATACGTCTCCGATATCCTCCTTGTCGTCCCTCTTCTGCTGGATACACATGACGAGGCCGACATTGGCGAGCCCTGGATGCACGTGTCCACAAGTTGTTCCAGCGCTCGACCTTGACATTGCCAGGTACGCCTGCCTTCCGTGTGTGTGTGTGTGTGTGTGTATCGAAGACGCCTATGGCGGATCACCGCCGCCCCCTGCCTTTAGGATACGCCTATGTGGCCAAACGTTTGGCATAGTTTGGCCACGCCATCGGACCATACGTTTCCCCAGCCGTTGTGGAAGCCTTTCGGGGAACACGTGGGGAGGAAGAGGAGGATGAGGAGAGGGAGAAAAAAGGAGGATGATGAGAAGGACGATGAGACCTTTCGTGAGCTTTTTTTGGAGTACCCTCGGAGCGCTTTGCGATTTTTTTGGTGGGTTTGGAGGCCTCTTCGGGGATTTGTGTGTGGGTTTTGGGAGCTTCTTGGGAGCCTCTTTGGCCGTCTTGGGGCGTTCCTGGCCTGACGCCGTCGGACGCCGTCTTGGTCACCTGTGGGCCGTTTTCGGGCCCACTGGGGGCGCCTAGGTGCCGTCTCGGAGGCCATCTTGGGCGTCGTGGAGACCATCTGGACCAAGTTGGCCTTTTTCGGGCCGTCTTGGGGGCCTCTTGGACCGTCCTGTGACCATTTTGGAGGCCTCTTGGCCGCTCTGGAGGCGATATTCGAGGCCTCTTGGCGTAGTTGCAGGCCTCTTTGGGGACTGGGGCCGCCTGTGGCTGTCTTGAAGCCATCTTGGGACATTTGGGGTGCATTTTGGGCCGTCTGGGGTGCATATTGGGGCCATCTTGGGCTCTCTTGGAACCACCTTGGCCGTCTTAGAAGCGTCTTTGATGCATCCTGGAGGCCATCTTGTGCCATCGTGGCCGTCTTCGGGGCGATTTGGGCCACGGGAGGTGGATGCTCGGCGCTCTCTGGGTGGCCAGCGGAATCGGCCGACGCCCCAGGGGGAGTTCTTTAGAAAAGAGCCAAGAACAACTAGTAATTAGCACGCCAGGCATCCCTGCGACATAACCTCCAAGGGCCTTTTGTCTTGTTCCCCCCCTTCCGCTCGGCGGTGAACAGGACTGGTCTTAAACCTCCACCCCTCCTATTCCTCCTCCTCCTCCTCCTCCTCCTCCTCCTCTTCTCTTTTTCCTCCTCCTCCTCGTCTTCCCCGCTCCTCCCCTTCGCTCGTCTTCCTCGCTCCTCCTCCTCGCTCCTCCTCCTCCTCCTCCTCCTCCTCCTCCTCCTCCTCCTCCTCCTCCTCATCATCATCATCATCATCATCATCATCATCATCATCATCATCATCATCATTCTCCTCCTCCACCTTCTCCTCCTCCTTCTCCTCTTCCTCCTCCTCCTCCTCCTTCTCCTCCCTCCTCTCCCCCTCCTTGTTGCTGTCGTCGTCGTTGTCGTCGTCGTTGTCGCGCGGCGGGTGCCGCGGAACAAATACTTAGTTCCCCCCTCTTGTTTGGACCCCAGTCCATGAGTAAGGCCGCCGAGCAATAATCAGTTACCCCCTATTAGGGGGTTTTGAAGACCCTCAGAGGTTATCAAAAGGGGGCGGTGGCCTTCGGCCCATCCCGCCACCGTGCCCAGGTTGTGGGCCAGAGGTCTGCTGGGGTCTCTTGTGATGCCTCTCGGATGCCTCCTGCGGAGGCCCGAGGGGCCTCGACCGGCCTCTGGGAGGCCTCTCTCGGAGGCGTCCGGGGGGGAAGCCCCTGGGGACCACTCTTGACGGCATGTTGGGTCTTGGGGGCCCACTCTTGGGTGTCATCTTCGAAGGGGGGGCCACTCCTGGGGGCTATCTTCGAAGGGGAGCCCATGTTGGGTCTTGAGGCCCACTCTTGGAGGCCTCGGGGGGGCCTTTGGGGGCCGTTCTTGGGGGCTATCTTCCAAGGGAATGCTCTGGAGGCCCCTTTCTTCCTCGTGGGCCCCTCGTGGGGTCTCTGTGGCCGTCTTTGGGGCCGTCTGCAGGCCCTCTTGGGGACATCTTGGGGGCCTCTGGTCGTGCGGCGATCTTTGGGGCCTGTTGTTCCGTCTTGGGGCAATGGCAACCCGAAAAGCCGAAAGCGCCGCAATACTGGAGCAACCTGAATCAGCATTTTTTTGTTTTGGAACCCTCTTGCGGGGCCACGTCGACTGCTCTTGGGGCATTTTGGTGGCCCCTGGGGCAGTCTTGATACCATCCTTTGCGTCTTGGAGCTTTCTTCGGCCGTCTTGGGGCCCACTTGAACCATCTTGGGACCTCTTCGGATCCTGTTGTTCCGTCCTGGCGCTCTCTGGCTTTTTGGTAACGTCATGGGGGACCGCCCAGCAGGCGCGCTTGGGCACGCGGGCAACCCTAGGAGATCCGGGATTTGTCCCTCCAGGGCCCTGGCTCCATCTGGAGGACCGATGAGGACTCCTCAAGACATGAGGACACTCATTTCGTACCTCGAGGCGCGGTGGCGTACACAGTGCTTGGCCTCCGCATGATCCGCATGTGAATCCAGCCGCGTGGAGTTTCAGCTCCCTGGTATGCTCCTCGCTTGGTTTGTGTTTCTCTCGGCCTGGCTCGACGATATTCTGCCAGCCAATGTGCAGACACTATTTCTTGTTCGATTATAATGCATCGCACCTCTGCAGATAACCAGTCTGTTGAGAAGGCGGTCCGTGCACGACCTTTGATTTTGTCGAGGGCTCGAGCCCTAATTGACAGCATGTTTGACACTCTGCAGCCCGTCTGTCAAGGAGCAGGGGTACCAGAGCGTTCTGGACTCAGAGTCGTAGAACATAGTGCGCTCGCCCATCTCTCTCTCTCTCTCTAGTTTCGGCTCGAGGGTCCCTGACCCAGTGTGCACCCGCGATGCCATGCGCCCCGCAACCTGCTCGGGCCTCGCGAGACAGGACGCGGCCCATCCCAGGCCGTGACAGACAGTCAACTCCCTTCAGCTCCGCGCGCTCGCCGTGGCTCCGAAGGGCCCTGTCCGGGCGTCCCCACCGTCAGGATACCAGTCTCGGTCGGAAGGAAGCTTGCGTCGCCGCCCTCCAGAGCATTTGTGGCGTCGCTTGGGCAGTCCTTTTATGTAGCGAACCCGCCCATAAGCATCACCTCTTTCCCGCTATCATGAAACTGGCAGCACCGCTCCGACGGAGGCTGGCCCAGGAGCGAGCCAATGAGATCTGTCCAGGACAACGTAGATCGGCGACACCATGCCGCACTATCCGCGCATGCAGACATGGCCTCAGAAGGTGACCCGCCACCAGCAGGAGTCGCGGTCGACGCCGATGCCAACCAGGGCAAAAGTAGATGCGACAAATTGGGACGTCCCCGCCGCGTCAAGGGTCGACGCGCACCAGTTGCCTCTCACCCCACACGCTAGAGGAAGGTGACCGCGTACTACAGCAGATTCACACACAAGATATACCTCTAACGCCTGCCCTTCTGGGATCCATCACCATTGACTGCCCAGGGAAAGAGTTCCGAATTTTAATGCTCCGCCGCACGGGCAAGGCTGCCAAGCCTACGCCAGGTCACATCCAAGGAGCCATCTACCAGCTAGGACCGGAAAAGGTGACGTGCCTCCAGGACGTCGTCCGAGTCTCCGTTGGCCCAGCCTGCAACGTCGTCCGGGCCCGTGCCGCAATCTGCCAGGCAAACGTTATTACGGTCACGCCCGCGGTCGAGGACCACGCCGCGGCTCGGTTCTCAAGCGCTGCACCCAGGCGGGCCAGGCACGGCGCACCAAAAAGGCCACGCATCCGCACATTTCAGCCAAACAGTGCGTCTCGCGCAAACAACTCCAGGGCGACCTCACGGACGCGTCCACAGCCGTGTTCGCTTCCCACTTCCGTGCCGTACAACAAGCGGAATCTGCAATGTAATTCTTAGGTCGCCACGGCACAGCTGCCAGCAAGCGCAAACTCACGGCTAAACTCGGGATCGAACCAGCAGACGTGTCCATGATTCTCGGCACCTCAGGGCAAGGAAGCGTTCAGTTCGAGGCAGTGACCCAAGCATCTACCGACAAACCGAGGGGCCTCTTCGTAGGTGTGGTTCGGCGGTGTCGTTTCGTTTTGGTATCGCACTGTGGTATAGCCCATTCCGTTCCAGACCCTGGCCGTGCTTAGCCATTTGTCAGCCTCACGGCTGAGCGGGAGTCCAGGGGACACCAGGCTTGATTACGCGTGGCCCCGCAAGAGACACATCAACGCTCGTTCCCCCCTCCTGCCTCTCCGTCTATCCCTCCCTCGTCCTTCTGCCTCTGTTCCTGGCACGGTTGTTCCTTCTCCTCTGCTTTCCTGATCTGTCTTCTTTCTGCGCTTGTCTTGCTTCCTTCTTTTCCGTCCTCTCTCCCTTCACTTGCCGCCTCCGCTTCCGCAGTGGCTGCCCGCCCTCCTCTCTTTCCGCTGCTGCCTCCTCCTCCTCCTCGTCCTCCTCCTCTGCCTCCTCGTCCCCTGTGCCTGCAGGTGCGGTGCTACCCTCCGCCGCCTCAGGGGTGTCTTGCTCGGGGACTCCCGCCGGATGATGTGCTGCCTCGCGCTGTGCCCTGTCCTCTAGGCCTGCAGGCGCGGGGCCATCCGCCTAAGGCCCTTCTCTTGCTGCTGCTGCCTCCTCCTCCCCCTCCTCCTCCTCGACCTCCTCCTCCTCGACCTCCTCGCGGGGCTACCCGCCGCCTCAGGGGTTTTCTGCGAGGGTTGCCCTCTGCAGGATCCGCTGCCTCGTGCTGCTCCTCGCCTCCTCGTGCCCGCGGGCGGGGGGGCGCACAGGCGTCGCAGGTGCTGGTCAGCATCTCCCAGCGGTGCGCCGAGGAGGACGTGAGAAGCCTCGTGGCGTCCATGCGGGCGCGCCCGCCCTTCCCCCCGCTCCGGCGGCGCCCGCGGGAGGCGGGAGGCGGGGGAGGAGGATCGGCAAAATGATGATGCTTGACGTTGTTGTTGTTGCTGCTGCTGTGGTTGATGTTGATGATGCTGCTGCTGATGATGGTGCTGATGGTGATCAGGGCGATTATGAGGGCGATGATGATGTTGATGTTGATGGTGTTGAGATCCTGATGTTGATGTTGATGATGATGATGATGCCGATGAGGACGAGTAGGGCGATTGTGATGCCGATGCTGTTGATGCTGTTGTTGATGCTGATATTGTTGTTGATGGTGCTGATGCTGATGCTGGCTATGACGACGATGATGGCTCTGATACTGATGCTGTTGATGATGATGTTGATGGTGTTGATGATGTCGCTGTTGATGCTGATGGTGATGATGATGATGATGACGATGATTAGGAAGAGGAAGAGGAGGGCGATGGTGATGCTGCTGCTGATGATGATGGCGATGATGACGACAATGATTCTGATGATGCTGGTCATTGTGATAATGATGATGCTGATGCTTATGCGGCTCATGATTGATGATGAGGATGATAGGGATGGTGATAGTGATGAGGGTGATGATGAGGGTGATGATGAGGGCGATTACGATTTTGCTGATGCTGATGGTAATGAGGATGCTGGTGGCGACGGCAACGGGATGATGACGATGTTGATGCCGATAATGATGTTGGTGTTGATAATGAACATGTGCGACGAAGACGAGGAGGATGAAGACGACGACGATGATGGAACGTGATGGTGATATTGATGGTGACGATGATGATGCTGCTGATGATGATGATGATGATGATGATGATGATGATGATGATGACGCTGCAGCTGCTGCTGATGAGGATGATGATGATGATGAGGATGATGAGAGGGATGATGCTGACGATGACGACGATTCTGATGATGTTGGTGATGGCGATGAGGATGATAAGCACGAGCTAGGTGATGATTATTGAATCGCTTCGCTCATTCCGCCGGCCCATGGGGAATTACGTATTCTTGCTTATGGGGTCTGTCTCGGGAGGCTTCTTGGTGGCCGCTGGGGGAGTCTTGAACGCGTCGCGTGCCGTCTGGAAGCGTTATGCCTATGGGGGTTCCTTCAGGAGGCCTCTTTGCGGCCTTTTAGGGGACTCTTAAACGCGTCGGGTCGCTTGCGCTTGCTTGCGTGCTCGAGGGGGCATTTGGGGGGCCTCCTGGGGCCGCTTGGGGGCCTCTTGGGTGCCTCCTGAAGGCCTGTTGGGGGCCTCTTGGGTGCCTCTGAGGGGACTCCTGGGGACTCCTGGGGGCTTCTTAGGACCGATGGCTCGAAATCTTGTTTCGTGTTCCCCCCCTGGGGCCTAACTTGGGGCGTTCTTGGGGCGTCTTGGAGGCCTCTTGGGCCGTCTCCGAGCCCTCTTGGGCCGTCTTGGGGCCCTCCTGGGGGCCTCTTGGCGGTCTTGGGGACCTCTTGGGCCGTCTTGGGGTGTCGGGAAGCCGAAAAGGTGAGAACGCCAACATCTCTCCAAAACCTAAGGACAAAGCAATGAATTTTGCCTCTTGGGGCCGTCTTGAGAGTGCTCTTTGGGGCCACTTGGGCTGTCTTGGGGCCATCTTGGGCGGCTTGGAGCGATCTTGTGGCATCTCGGAGCTTTCTTGTATCATCTTGAGGGGCTCTTGGCGGCCTCTTGGCCTTTTTTTGGGCTCCTTGGACGGCCTCGAGGGCGGCGCCCAGGATGAAAACCATCTCTGATCCGAGTCGCCTGGGACCTGCCCGGAGTACTTTTCGTCCGGGGACCCCCAGGGGCTGCCCCGCGCGCGCGAAGTAGAACTGCTGTGAAGCAGTTGCCAGAGATCTTAGCACGCCTCTGGCCCGTTGGGCCGGCGAATTATGGTAGTGATGGTTGCGATGATGCTGTTGTGGATGATGGCGACGATGACGATAATAACGTTGTCGGCATGCTGGCGATGATGATGATGATGATGATGATGATGATGATGATGATCAGGATGACGAATAAGTAAATGGACGACGATGGGTGAGGACGGCGATGGCGATGATGGAAGGTGTGGATGCAAGGGATGATGCTGCTGATGGTGCTGATGATGATGCTTATGCTGATGAAGCTGATGATGATGCTGATGATGATGCTGATGAGGATTATGATGCGGGGGATTAGGATGAGGGTAAGGATGAGAATTGGGATGAATAGGAATCTGATGATGTTGATGGCCATGCAGGTGATGATACTGCTCTGGCGGTGATTATGATGACTGTGGTAATAATAATGCTGACGGTGATGCCATTTTGCAATGTTCGTAATGGTCACGGCGGCGTCCTCGATCACGATGATGGCGATGGTTATGATGTTGATGTTGATGATACTGCTGCTGCTGCTGCTGATGATGGTGCTGATGATGATGATTACTATGATGATGACGACGATGACGATGATGCCCTTGATGATGAGGAGGAAGAGGAGGAACAAGAGGAGGAGGAGGCGGAGGAGGAACAGTAACATGAGGGAGGTTTGCTGCGCCACCCGTCAGGAGAGGTGCAGAAGTGCAGCCCAGAACCCCCTTAGGGAAACAACAAAAAAGAATATGCCCCTCGCTTCAGGAAAAGCCACGCGAAATCACGCAAGACCACGCGCCACGCCCTGTAAGGTTGAGGTCCAGCCCCGAAATTTTCAATCTTCAGGACTGATGACAGAGGAATCAAGGGACCTGAGGACCTTCCGCTTCGTGCCGGAGGCATGGTGGCGGATCACCTCCTCCCCCGCCCCCCTTCCCCATCTTACTTCCCTCCTCTCTTTGCTCTCTCGCCTCCCCGTTCCTGGCTCTCCCATACCCATT